ACTATGATTTAAAGGATCACGTGGTGGTCATCTGAAGAAAAACAAGGCAGCCCCAAACACAACAGATTCCAAGATCAGCAGACGTTAGGAAGTGGGTTTTGTTTTTTGGTGCAGACAACAGCAGCGATGACTGAGAGGAACTGTAGGCATCATCTCCAATCCTGAGCCTGCCCATCCAGGCACACAAGCAACTCAACAGCTCCCATGGGACAGTGAATCAAGTTATCTGGGGCTGCCCAACTGCTGCTTGATGTTAAGTTAAATGACTGAGAAGGATTAAACTCTGGTAACAACAAGCTCTATGATGGAAATACAGTGAGATGCTTGCATACAATGGCCCAGCTGCTCCCCAGAGACTGATTCTTCCAGCTGGTGTCTGAAATACCCATTGGCCTATCCATCGACATCATTCCAAAAGTACCGCAGAATGTCTTCAGTTAATTTCTGGGAGACAAAAGGGGGTGGGAAACAGTATCAGCCACCAGGCTGCCTTTATTTCAATTCCTCGCCACTTTATGATAAATCAAAGCTGCCTGGGATACAGTCTGTGACCAGGTACTAATTCTGATTGCTACGTTGGTGACATAGAATGGTTCCAAAAACAGCCATAAACACTTTTCATCCAAAAGGCCAATGACTCTAGGAAGTTTCACTCACCACTGACTATACTTCCACCCCTGGCCCAGACCAATAGAATCACTCGGTATGTTATACTCCACCATGTATCTTAATTAGGAACTTCTAAGGCAGGGATTTTCAAGGTATGGGTCACAACCCAGTACTAGGTTGCGAAATGTCAGACACTGAGTCACCTTGCTATAGGGTCATTAGGTGACCAGTGGGATGCTACGGCAGGCTTCCTGCTAGTCCTTGCACCGAGGACTGCACTATGTCCTGGAAGTGGCCAGCAGCAGGTCCAGCTCTTAGATGAGAGAGCCACAGCTCCCCGAGCACTAGCTCCAAGCTAGTTCCCAGCCAATAGGAGTTGAGGGGGGGCAGCATGCAGAGGTGCTTGCACACCTCCCCTAGAAGCCTGATTAGCTGGTGGCTGCTTCCAGGCACAGAGCATCCCACAGTGCCAAGACAAACAGGAAACCTGCAGCAGCATACCTGCTGTTCTGCTGACCGAGAGCCACCAGATGTGCACCCCATTTTCCTGCCTTAGTCCTGTGGCCCCCTCCCCTAAACTCAGACACCCCCTCCTGCATCCCAAACTCCCCGATCTTGGTCCTACCCCAGAGTCCACACACTAGTCAAAAGATGGAATTATGCTGGATCACAGGCATCAATTTTCTTCAAGTGGGTTGGGAGAATAAAAAGTTTGAAAACCACTGCTCTACAAAATAGATATTCATGTTGATTCTATTACTATACTGCTCACGCACACACGTGTGTGCCTCTTAACAATGCAAAACTTCAAAGCCAGCTGTTTTTGGAGATTCTTAATTGCAGGGGCTAAAGAAATATAAACACTTCACAAATGCTAACGACCTAAGTCCCAAAAGAACCCTGACAGAAAGAGTCACCATTTCCCCAGCAGGGAAACTGAGGTGCACCCAAGGAAAAGGATTTGTCTGAGTCCAGCGCAAGAGTGGGGCAGGGACTGTGTTTGAGTCTGATACCACTGCTGCCAGTCCAAATGGCCATCCGCAAATACCGCCAATCCGAGCACACAGCAGCGTAGCACATTCTGTAGAAAAGCCTCACTCCAAAGGCCTTCTCAGGGGCATACCACTTACACCAATCACTGCTCTCTGAAACCTGATCCACTTGCCATTTAATCTCTATGGGAGTCACTAACGCTAACCACATTCATTCTAAATATAAGGGAACCTGAAGTTGTAAGCAAAATCTGGTTCCTTCGCGCATGAGGTTTTGATCTGAACAGTCAATATTTGAGCAGCATGTTGCTTTTACTATAAACACATTAAGTCCTAAACAGGCAGTGGGGAAGGGAGGCGGAGACAGAGCTCAGTTTGGCTCTTCCTTTACAGAAAGCTTGCATCAGCCTGAAGGCTGGAAGGCAGCAAAGATACGCCCCTTGGGTTCTGTTCTTAATAGGAGGTCAAGACATGCCCTTTTCCAGCCAGACAATAACAATATTGAAGATCAACAGGGATTAAAATAAATGACCTTGCAACACCTACTTGAGTGACACCCCCGAGCACCCAGCCTGCCAGCGCGCTTAGGGCTCATTACTATTCTTCTGACATCAGCAGCTAATGAAGACATGGCAGGCAAGACACAAACATAGACTATATCACCACACTGTGAGGCACGAGGCCAAAGATTGAGTGTCTTCAGCTACTAAGGAGATGATGCTTTTGGAGGGTGGCCAAAACCTTTGATTCCTCTCAGCACTAAAGAACCCACAAAGGACGAAATCCAGCCATCTGTTACAGCCAGGGAATCTTAGACTGAAACAGACACATTTGAGAGAGTGGAACCAAGGCTGTGATTGGGCCCACTGTGTGGAGAAAATAATTCCAAATTCTTTGGTACTGTTCAATATGACACATTCTGGCTAAAAAACAAAACAAACGAAAACCATCCAAAGGTCCTGGCATATCAGATCAGGTGCCCTCAAACTAATTGCTTATGTTTGGCAGTGGCCACTACCTAATGTTTTCTTTTTTGAGACAGGCTGGCAACTGCATGACCTGTGAACTAGATCCAGCCCAGATGACGTCATTACATAGCTCAGAGGCCATATTCTGATTCTCCATAATCTAAGATAAACTGTCATTGAAACAACAGTCCTTGTGACTGCAAAGATCCAAATGGTGTGAACAGAGTGTGATGAAATGCCGTGTGCCTTGGTCTGCCCATACGGTTGCCAAGTGCACAGTTTTCAGCCGAACAGCCAGTTGAAAACGGACCCTCCTCAGACTGGTGAAAATGAGAGTGAAGGTGGGGGGAAATCAAGTAAGCAGGAGCAGGGCAAGGTTGTTTGGCTTCGTTTGGTCGGAAAGCTGGCAACCCCAGTCTGCAGAGAGACTGAACAATGACAAGGGTGTGAATGCATCTGTCCCGTTAACCTCACTTTCAAGCACCATTATGAAATTTTAGTGTCAACATTAAACGATCATTTTAGTGGTTAGTCATAGATCATGGGAGTGGGAATGAAGTAAACAGGGATGGGAATTGGACAAATAACGAAATATTCAGTTACGGGCATCTACTAGTGAGGGACAACTACTAATTCATATTGGACCTACTAGCCACCAAATAGCATGAGGTGGGGTTGGAACGCTGCCCTTCTGACTGTGTACAGCGTTCAAGTGCTCTTTTCATAATTGCCTATGGTATTGCAACTCTGGAGGGTATTAGATCTAAATGAAGTTTTTAAACTGGTTTAAACCGGGCTGAAAACCACATGCTTTGGCTTATAGCAAGTTATCTCTTTGGAAACCCACATGGAAATTTCCTTCTGTCATGGTTTCGTTTCAGAATCCAGAGCAATCAGGCAAAAAACAAATTAAAAACCCCCCTAAACTGCTCTCTCATGTGAGCAGCTGTATCTGTTTTAAGTTTTGCTGAACTTTTGCATCGATGTGTCAGCCTGGCCATTGAACTCTTTGCTGCCTGTTGTACACTGCTACTGCCACATGAACAGAGCCAGCAACAGGGATATGTGGCATAGTTAACTGCCTGAGACTGCTGACTTCCAACGGGTAGCAAAGTGAGGAATGTTTCTGCCTGGATCTCAAAGGGGCAGCAGCACTAAATGTGGATCAGCCATGTATTGCTCATGTTGCTGGCTGATAGGATGTGAATGGGATCAGGGGACTTGCAACCCGTAAGTTTCATGGCACAGCACGTAGTGGAGAAACACCCCTCTCCCCCACCCCAAACACACACTAAATGAGATTTTGGGGCCCTGCTGAATCTGCACTGACCTCTGAAGAACTGCACCTTGCCATGAAGTTTTCAGCTTTCAAAACTCCCATGATTTGCTGCTCTCCATACTTCACAATGAGAGCAATGGAACTATGAAGGCAGAAGGCAATCTGCAATGCACAAGAGCTTAGCACAAAGGAGGAACGAAAAAGGAGATGGTGTCACATCACCAGGCTGTCTGGCATGCACACAGAGAGGAAGAGTAGCCTCGAACTTCAAACGGGCAAGTAGCCTTGAACTTCTACATGGGAGAGATGTTTGAAGGCCTGTCTAGGACTCTGTCGCAAGAGTACATTTTCAAACACTGGGTTGAGCCTCGTTGGTCAGACACAGAGCCCTAACGATGTGTCATCCCCTTTTGCCGTTTCCTTTAGCACATTCATCTACATATAAACAAGCTCTTTCAAAGGGTTTTATTGGGGGGTGGGCGGTGGGAACCAGATGAAATTATGGAACAGCCACTGCCCCGCACAATCCAACAGCAGCTACACCCACTACATACTCACTAGCTATCGCCATCCAGTCAATCTAGACTATTTCCATCACACTCTGACCAACTGTTCGGGTGGCTGTGTTAAACTCCGACTGAAAACGAGATTCTTTTATGACCTGCTCCAGGGGAAGTTAACAACAAGAAAGGGTATGTGGGGGCAAGAATAAAACAATGCTGCTTGCAGTAAACATAGCTGGCCAGGAAAATTAGGTCTAAAGGGAGAGCAACTAGAAGCATGAGCAATATGAAATAGAAGCAAAACTTGAGAGACAGCATGTGGCAGATACAGGAATAAAACTGAACATACGGTTCAGCTATTTTTTTCCTGAAGGTTATAGGCTGCATTTGGGAAGACTGCCAAGACTTGGGGAGCATACTAGTGAGGCACAAGCAACAGACCAGGTGAAATAAAAGCTCCTTTAAGTGAATGCCCTATATAATTCCTAGTGTTCCAATCCTTGCACTCTTTTGACCCCGCCCAGACCATGTTAATGAGACTACATTTCATGAAGTGGAATTCCCACCCCAGGTTCTGGTATTTCGACAGCCTCCATCACTGGGCCTGGTAATAAGCTGCTTCCCTCTAATGCGGATTTGAGACACTTACCCATTAAGATACTCAATAGCTTTTGAACTCTGGAGTTTACTCCAACAATTCTGTAGAGCCCTTGCTCATTGATCCCTGGGAAAATAAAGAGGTTACTTAATTAGGAGAATGTTAAAAGAACTATTAACATTTCTTTCATTTTCTTGGCTTTGCTAATAGCTGCAGTAATTAAAGCTTTCCACCAGCTGCATGCTACACCCTCAGCCCAGCTAGCGTAGAGAGGGTTGAAATTTGATTTTAATGCCTGGATTTTTATGTATTTATTTCAAGAAAGTGTTGTATCCCGATCAGCTCAGGAATCAGAGGATAGTGGTACCTTCTCTCCACACTGATGAAACAGGAAAGAAGGAAAGCACCAGAAACAAATATCATTCGATTGGCAACAGGTGGGTGGATTGAGGAATTTGATATTAAGACCTGCTGGTCTGGCAACGTGTCTTTCTAAGCATTAGCAGAGTATACAGCACAATATGGTTCTGATCCAAAGGACTGCCAATGCTAGTACAGAAGTAAGTAAATAAATGGCAAACATCACAGAGCTATTTTGATGTCACAGACACCAGTCCAAGGACCTGACTAATGGAAGCTGAATGACCCTCCTGGCTTACTGAAGGGAATGAGAGTCGAGGGCATTTTGACCTCTGCAGGTCTAAATATTCTTGTTGGCTTTATTTGCCTTTAAAAAAATAAACAGTTTTTTAATCACAGCCAGGCTGTTATCTGAACAGTCTGGATCATGGACAGCAGGAAAATATCAATAATGCAAACTACTTTTCTTTCTTTAGGGAGCTGAAAAACTTCACCAGCCTGCAGCTTTTCAATAACCACTGCACACTCTATATCCCATGATCAGCGCCTCGGCAGCACTGCAGTCGCTGCAGAATGGTAAATGCTCAGTTCCAAACACTACTCAATGTCCTGAATTCCCTTACAGGTTGGATGGAGAGCTACAAATTGGAACTATGGACTGGGACTTGGAAGACCTGGGTTCAAGTCTGGCTCAGTCACAAGTTTCCTACATTACTGAGGGCAAGTCAGTTTCTCTTACTTGTGCCTGTCCCATCTGTCAAACGGGAATAATATTTCTCTACTTTACAAGGATGTTAATTACATTTATTTGAGAGGGGTGCAGATACGACAGTGATTAAAACTACAGTAGACTTCCAATAGTCTGGCACCTTTGGGGTCCAAGGGGTGCCGGATTATCGGATATGCCAGAGTATCAGGAGGTACTCTGGCAGGGGGGCTGTGATGGCTCTGGGGGGGGGAGGTCGGCGGGGAACAGCACAGCATGGGGCGAACCCTCCACTGTTTTGCAGGGAGGCGGAGGAAGCCCCGTGCAGCCGCTGGCAACAGGCCAGCTGGGGCTGCAAGCAGCAGTGGCGACTTGGGGAAGCGGCGCAGAGCAACTGGGGTGCTGCCGGGTTGGTCCTACACCCCCCTGCTCCGTGCTCGGCAGCACCCCAGCTGCTCTGCTCCGCAACTCCCCCAAGTCCGTTGCTTGTCAGTTTCAGCAGCGGACTTGGGGAAGCGGCGCAGAGCAACTGGGGTGCTGCCGGGTTGGTCCTACACCCCCCTGCTCCGTGCTCGGCAGCACCCCAGCTGCTCTGCTCCGCAACTCCCCCAAGTCCGTTGCTTGTCAGTTTCAGCAGCGGACTTGGGGAAGCGGCGCAGAGCAGCTCCAATTGTCCGGCTGGCTGGAGCACTTCCAGGTTCCAGTTGGTGCCGGGCTATCGGGAGTGCCTGACCCCTGGATGCTGGACAATTGGAGTTTTACTGTATTTATATACACCTGGTCTACGTGTGGAATTTCATGCAAGATTTAAAATGCACTTGTACTCACTATCCTGTAACTATGTATTTGCACATTAAATTATGCCCAAATTAGATTTTAAATTAAATTCCCCCCTTATTTCAAAAATCTTGACCAACATTTCTTAGTGCGTCTTTCTGTTTCTGATATCTGCATGTGTTCAACAGTTATTCAAGGTAAAGTATACGCCCAGCTAGAGCACCATGCGAGCCTATAATGAGGTATATAAAAAATGATTCTGAGGGTTAATAAATCATCTCTGGGTGCAAAAAGAGAAGGCAAGCACAGACAATGCTAAAAGCAGATGTAAGAGTTTCCCTAAAAACAAGGCCATCTGGTGAATTAATATACCTCTTGTTTCAACAGCATGTATGCATTTCCGGATAATGCTGAATCCGATATTATCCAACTGGGCAGCTGAAAGAAAAGAAAAAAAAAATTGACAAAACACCTAGCAATGGGGATGATTTCACAATGAGCACTCCATTCATCCTGCAGAATCACCTCTGAGATTGAACGAGATACAGTATTGTATTGCTTTTTAAAAAATAATCTTGGAGGATGCATTTGATGTCCATGAAAGGAAGAGACTAACGCACTAGCTTTCATCAGGAACAATACAGGCAAGCACAGGGCACTGCTAATAGATCTCGTTTCAACCCCCTATGATGTTCAAATCCTGGGTCTACCCACAGATCTGCTAAAGCATTTTGCTCTTCATCTGCAACACCACCAGTACTAGATCCCCACAGAAATGCCAGATTGTGCTCGTGCATTCATTCAAGAACGGGATGCTATCTCTTGTAATGGGTATCTGGCAGGGAGGTGCCATTATCTCTTTTTAGCCACAAGCCACATTATTTTGGATGACCCATCTCTAAACATTCCATGAGTCCCCTACCTTGCTTCCTAGATCAGTTATTTCCTTCCTAATCAACATCTGGCTAAAACATAAATCACTGCTGCTGGAGGGACGACTTGATCTTGAGGTTTTCTCCTATGTCAGACTTCTGCCTCCCTAGATAAGAGGGTGGGGGTTGGTTCTTTTGATTGATTTTCAGGTTTTGCTGGGGGGTTTTAATCGTATGGTAGTTTGGACCATTTTGTCCAGTGCCCTATAAAATGTGCTAAATAAACTGGCGCTGTGCAATATTTTTCCTTTACCACTCCCCCTGATTTTTCAAAACCATACCAAAGACACAGCTGATTCATGAGAATTGGAAAGTTTGTTGGTTCCCCACACCTTGCAAGGTGCAGCCTCCCTTACTAGTCTATTTGACCCTTCTTCAGCCATCTGCTGCTCATTTGTTTTCAAAATTCTGCACTGAACCCATTACTTACATGAAAACGGCAAGAGAGACAGGGACAATACAACAGAGACAATTCGACTTCTTCAGATTTGTTTCTCTGGGAAAACTTGCTGAAATGGTGAGCCAACACACACAGCACATTTGAAGAATATTTACATTACAGGACATGCATACCAGCTATGAAGTCAATAGGTCTTGCTAACAGCGTCATGGGTCCTTTAACATAAGAACGGCCATACTGTGTCAGACCAAAGGTCCATCTAGCCCAGCATCCCGTCTGCCAATGGTGGCCAATACCAGATGCCCCAGAGGGAGGGATCACAATACCCCAGCTATTCCAGATTCAACACATCTCTGGGGTGCTGTGTTTTAGGTTAGGCTTTTGATAGAACAAAAGCGTTCGTCTGTTTTAAGTCCATTTCAGAACTCTTCTGCCACACTGCTCCATAAACATGGGATAGTCAATATAAAATACCTTGGACCTAGCAGGCCCCTTACTATCCTGACAACCTTTCACAGCAACAAAATTATAAACAAAAACAGTTCCAGACAAACCAGAGATGCCCAGCTAGTGATTTGCAGTGTGTTAGATTTCAGATGCCCAACACAGGAAAAGGGTCCTGATTTTCAAAACGGCCTCCCAAAATTACTAGTAAAAATTTAGTGTAATGTTTTTTGCTGGCAGCATAGCCTACCCTAGATCCTCCTCATCCCTTCCATGTGCTGCCTTTCCCCACTCACGTGCAGCTTACGTTCTGTCCATGTTTGGCACTGAGAACAGGTAGGTTATAAATGCGTTTCGTCCACCCTTCTCACAATTTATTCTCCTCCTAAGCCTACCACACCCCTCACTACTGATCAGTTACCACTAAAGCGTGCATAGCAAGACCTTTCAATAGTGTTTGCCAAGACTGAGCGAGAAAGCAGTTTTAGATGAAAGTTACGATCCTTTTAGATGAAAGTGACAGAGCATAAATGCCCTCAAGCTGTTGAGTCAGCTCTTTAGACTCCTAGCTGAGCTCTGGATCAAGAAAGGTCAGGGATTTATTTGCCATCTTTGTATCCTTATGCTGTCCAGAAATATCTAATTAAATAAATACCTCAACAGCATTATTTATCCTTTGACTTTTAATGAGCCCCATAAAAAAAAAAAACTTGATTTCTACTCTCCCTCCCAGAAGCTTCTTTTTATCTCAGTTGTTTACTCACTGACTTAGCTGAGAGCTGACATCTCATAGCTGCATCTGGAGCTACTAATGCTGTGATCCTCACACCCACGCCATTCGCCCTAGACAGCTCTTTGAGCTGCAGCACTAGGCTTTAACCAGATTTCCCTCACATCAGCAGCAAATTCCCCATTTAGATTCTGCTTGCGAGGCTCTGATGGTTTGGAAGTAGTGGTGGAATGCACCCGTGTGATGGAGTCTGACGCATTTTGAGCTACCACAGTGAGCTGCAGACAGGAGTTGGGAGAGTAATGGCAACAAAGGGTATGTCTACACTACCACCCTAGTTCGAACTAGGGTGGTTAATGTAGTCAGTCAATCGAAGTTGCAAATGAAGCCCGGGATTTAAATATCCATGAGGAGTAACGGTAGTTTGAATTAGAAAGCCTAATTCGAACTACGTACTCCGTGCCACGTGTAGCCGCGGGCACGGAGTCCGAACTACCGGGGATTTAAAAATGGCGGCGCCCGGCAAGATGCAAATGAAGCCCGGGATATTTAAATCCCGGGCTTCATTTGCAACTTTGATTGACTTGGGATTGCAAGTTTGAACTAGGGTGGTAGTGAAGACATACCCAAAGAGAGTAATCCCTTTGAGCTATCTTGGCTACACAGAGAGCCTCTCAGTTCTGTGTAATAAAGGAGTGTTCTTCCTCGTATGTTCGTATGCTTGCATTGCTGCTTATTTTCATGAGAAGTGCAGAATTGCAAAGATGAAAGTAACAGTGTCATTTATCAACAGGAATCAAGCTTCTGCTCTAATCATTCACTCAATTTGAGCCTTTTACTTGGTGTCTGGGCAGTGACAAGTTGAGAGATATGGTACGGGGAACCAAACTAATTTCAGGGGAAATGGCTTGCCTCGAGTGTCTCCGTATGCCCCATTTCAGTGGATGGATGTGGGCCGAGCATACACAGTCACACTCACACAAACAACAGTATTATCATAGAAGTATTTAAATGCACAACTGACCAAGGTATTAAACATTCACCCTATAATCTGGCAAAAAGATATTTTAATCAACATTTGACAAGCATTACTATTATTCCAGTTTTTCTGATAACTAAATACAAACTACTTATCCTGTTTTATGCAACTTCTTGAACCATCCAATTTGGACCCATCTCATCTTGAATTTTTGCCTTGTACATTATTTCTATGTAATCCATAATTCCATCATTCAATGCTGACAACCCAACTATCTGAGCACAGGCAAAGGGGGAGAGGGGTAGAAACCAGCTTCAGGCTGATTTTGCTGAATCCAGACTTACTAACATCGCACCACACCAGCGACACAAGATCAAATGGATTCCTCTGCAGACTACATAATACATCTTTGTGTGCTATAGCAAAACAAAGACCATATGTCAGAGTTTTATGGAATTATTAATGGAGAAATCAGAAACGGAGACCTGGAAAAATGAGGCTTTCATTTGATATTTCAAAGATGAAGTACTGATGAGATGCCAAGATGACAGGGAGGAAGAGCCGCAGCACAAAAGGCTCTCACATTGAACACATTCTCACAACAGTTGGGTAAAAGACAAAGAGCAGGCCGCTGTGGAATAAGCGAAAGGAGTGAGGTGGGTATGCAGAGAGCATAAGGTCTTTGAAAAGTTTATAAAACAAAGGTGGAGAATTTTGAACCAGATCCTGAAATGATTAGGGTGTCAGTGGAGCAGGAAAAGGAGGATGTAATTGGTACCTCGAAGATGAACAAGTCCAAATGGCCTAGAGAATATTTGTTTTCAGAGAACAGAGCGGGACAGATCTAGGTATTGCTAACTAAGGAATTAAAATACACGTAGTGTTATAGAAGTTCATTGAAACTCATCTGTCCACCCCTCTCATAATCCATCTCTCCCTTTACTCCCTAAGCAGAGCAGAATAAAAATCACTTTACAGGATGCTGGCCATCTGCTCACTTACTAGCTTATAAAATCCAAGGGCTCTGTAAATTAAGACAGCAGCCAAGAAGCAAACTGCAGCTCTCAGACCACTGCACATAGGGAAACAAAATAGCACTGGGAATCAGGACTTAGGCACAAACTCCAAAGGATCCATCAATCACTGAACCAATTTTAACAGCTTGGTAGGTTTGCTGGGAAATAAACTAGTAAAGGGTATGTCTACACTACAGTGTTAATTCGAGTTATCTTAATTCGAAGTAGTTAATTCGAATTAAGCTAATTCGAATTAACGCGTCTACACACAAAATGTAGCTCGATTTAGCATTTTGCTAATTCGAAATACTGCATCCACACTGACTGGACACAGAATCGGATTTAAGGCCAGCCAAAACCAGGTCAGGCAGGGCATCAGGTCAAGAGTGTCTGTGTGTATTTGCTGCCTGAGGCTATCTGATGCCTGTGCTTAAAGGGACACCTCCCCCCGCCTCTCGGGCTGCCAACTCTCAGGTGTCCCTGCTTGCTTGCCTACCTCGATGTGGGACAGCAAAGCATTTGTGTCTCTGCGTGCTCTGGTTGCACTCACTCAGGACACCACAGCACTCTGCAACACGGAGCCAGAGCTGCCCCTGGGCACTCTGATGCTTCTCGTGGACGTGTTGCTGCGAGCCTGGCTGCATTTTCTGCAGGCTGCCATCCCGGAGGTCCATCGGGGGGAGGGGACTGTCATTATCCAGGAGGCCCTGCGGGAGAGCTTCCACCCTAGGGAGCACTAAGAGCCTCCCAGGTCTGCCCCATTGGGGGCTTGTGCCTCATTCCTCCTTCCTTCTACTTACCCTTCCCTTCCTGATGTTAAATAAAAACACATTTCTTGCCAAAAATACACTCTCTTCATTGACCGAAACTGGGGTGGGAATGAGGATGGGAGAGAGGAGGGAGAAACCTGGGAAGAGGGAGCTGGAAGGGGGAGGCAAGGGGAGGAAGGAGGAGGAGAAGCTGAGGGTTGAGGGTCTTGCCAGACCAACTTGATTTTCATGCAAACCTGCTCCTGGGTTCACATGCGGCCTCCCCTGCCATAGACAGCCGCGTTCCTCTGTCTAGTGCGGAGATCATGGACGTTGGGGGCATCCCCCCAAACCTGAGTATGGTCCACCCATATCTCTGCCCTGGACCAGGAGGGCCCCGCCTTCTCCGGGCCCTGGCAGGCTCCTGGGAGCTGGCAGACTATTCCTGGGGCGCAGTGGAGGGCTGGCTGGCAGTGGCTTGCTGGCTCATGTTTTGGGGCCACTGGGTCAGGTGCAGTGACTGCTGGCTCTGGGCTGGCAGGCTTTTAGCTGGCACAGGCATTGTGGCCAGAGTCAACCCCTTTACAGGCCCTGCTGGCTCTGGGCCGGCGGGCTTGGAGCTGGCACAGGCACTGTGGCCATAGTCTGCCCCTTTAAGGGCTCCAGGGTTGGGGGGGAGGGAGAAGAGTTTTCCTGGTTTGGCCCAGAGTGGCCACCAGGAAAAACTGGGAAGGCTGGAGGCCAGCTAATTCGGACTAAGCGTCTACACAGCTAATTCGAATTTGGCGTTACTCCTCGTAGAGTGAGGTTTACCAAACTCAAATTAAGAGCCCCACTATTTTGAATTTAATTCAAAATAGCGGTTTGCTTGTGTAGACGCTATGGAAGTTAATTTGGAATAGCGGCTGTTATTCTGAATTAACTTTGCAGGGTAGACATACCCAAACTCCTTAGGCCTCATCTTCACTCCATGAAAGATCGATGAGGTCATGATCAATCTTCCAGAGTTCGATTTAGTGAGTCTAATTAAGACCATCTAAATGAAACTCAGAGTGCACCCCCGCCAGCATCTGGAACTCCTGCTCTTGCAAAATAATGGGTGCCATATTTATTCACACTGTCACTGTATTAATCTGCTTTGGGAGCTCTCTCAAGTACAAACTGTGCTACCAGACCAAGTTTTGATTTCACTCTTGAGTGGCACAAAGCCCAATCTGAAACCTACTTAATCATGGAAGGAACCAGTAAAACCTTGCTTTGTCACTGTGTGCCTAAGGATCCATCTGTTAACATTCCTGGTCTCAAAACTAATATATTGCAGCTCCAATTCAAGCTCGGACAATGCAAGTGACACTAATTGTACCACGCAGAAGAAAGGCAAAGACAAAGTTAGCAGCACTGCATAGCCCACCTAGGTATCCAATTACCTGACACTGCACCCTCTTGTGTCACTTACCACCTCTATATAAAAACAAAACTGACAGGTATGTCAATCTTGCCTTTCAGAGGGAA